CTCCTGCCACTGTTTCTCTGCTACCACTTCTTGCCCTACTCAGTGTTATGTCTCTCTCCTGATCCAGGAGCTTCTCAGCGCAGGGATCTCAGGTCCAAAGGACACTGTCTTAGTTATCTAGTGCTGCTAAAACAGAAATACCACAAGTGGATGGCTGTATCAAACAGAAGTTTATTCTCTCACAGTCTGGTAGGCTAGAAGTCCAAATTCAGGGTGTCAGCTCCAGGAGAAGGCTTTCTCTCTCTGTCGGCTCTGGAGGAAGGTCCTTATCATCAATCTTCCCCTGGACCAGGAGCTTCTCTCAGTAGGAACCCCAGGTCCAAAGGGCGCACTCTGCTCCCAGCACTGCTTTCTTGGTGGCATGAGGTCCCCATGTCTCTTTGCTCGCTTCTCTCTTTTATATCTCAAAAGAGATTGGCTCAAGACACAATCCAATATTGTAGATTGAGTCCAGCCTCATTTACATAACTGCTGCTAATCCCATCTCATCAACATCATAGAGATAGGATCTACAGCACATAAGGAAAATCACATCAGATGACAAAATGTGGAGGACAGTCACACAATGCAGCGAATCATGGTCTAGCTAAGTTGATACACATATTTTTGGGGAACACTTTTCAATCCATAACAGGCATGATCTGCTCTTGGCACTCCTTCCTTCATGGTGGTGAGATCCTCTCTCCTCCCTCTGGAATGGCTCATTTCCAGCCCAGCAGTATGGCAAAACTGACCAGTCTCCTTGGTGAGCCACAGTTATCCTGTTTGCACAAATGATTGGGTGGGAGTTACAAGACCATGGCGAGAAAGGCCACACAAAAGTGAACCATTGTACAGCAGTTATGTTGTTATACTGTCATTATTTTTGCTGTAAAAAGTCAATTGCCTTTTAAGGAACTTATGAGAAGAAGAAAAAGCATAGAACTTTGTGTTGATTCGTTTATTTATCGTTTCTTTTTCTCTTTATTCCTTTCTTTAGATCTGAGTTTCCCTTCATCTTGAAGAACACCCTGTAGCATTTCTTGTAGTACAAGTCTACTGGTGAAAATTCTACTACCTTGTTTATTTAAAAATGTTTTTATTTTAATTCTTTAAGCCCTTGGGCCATCTCATGGTTGGTTTCTCTTGACTTCTTTCTTACTTGACTTTGGGTCACATTTTCCTGTTTCTTTACGTGTCTAAAAATTTTGGATTACATCCTAGATATTGTGGGTGATACATTGTAGGCACTAAGGATTCTGTTATATTCCTCTGAAGAGAGTTGATTTGTGTTCCTCCAGGCAGGCAGTTGAGTTATTGACTGATCACCTTCAACTTGTATACACTTGGTTTTGTGCTTTGTTGCAACAGATCTTTGGAAAGCCCAATGTGTTTCCCAAGTCCTTTGAACTTGATGAGACCCACCACTAGACTGGGTTTCCTCTGTGGATCTTGTTGAGGCTTGGCTTTAGGCTTTTTTAGGGCAGGTTTCGAGTAGGCATTATTCTTGGGGGTGGTCTTTATTCCTAACTTGTGGTCTTTCTGGTTTCCCAGGGTGCCCTGGATGTTAATGAGGTCACTGATTGGTCTTTTCTATCTCTCTTTTGCACTTAGCCCTATAGCTACTGCTCTTTTTTGAGATTTTCATAGTTTCACCGTGCTCATATGAAGTCCAGCCCTTTGCCAAGGACTCTTGGTGGCACCCCACGTAGACTTCAGCCCTCACCCCCATAGCTCCTTCATCAGTGCCCTGTTCTTCAGATTCCAGCTACTTCAGCAGCTCTGAAGTCTGATCTCTGCGTCCTCAACTTAGTGTGACCACTGTGCTCTGCTTGAACTCTGGCTTCCTGCACTGTCGTTGGAAAATTGTCTCCACGCAGACAGCTAGGATGACCATGGGGCTTACCTCATGAGTCCATTCTTTTTTTTCTTCTTTTTGAAAAGATCTGTTTGAAAACATATCAAATTATGTTCAGTTAATACCTGCAGAATATATCTGCCAAGGTGAGGATTATGTCATGATTTATCTGGTTCTAATTCGGCCACTAGATCACTAGGTAACCTAGGATAAATTAATTCCCTTAAGGCTGAACTGAGACAGATGGATGTTATTTCAAAATGATCTTCTTTATTTTAGAAATTTACTTGTATTTGTGTTTTTTTCGGAGTATGTCACAAATATATGTTGCATTTATTACATTTCATTTCCTCCACTATAATTTATAGGTGCACCTTAAATTATTTGTGATTATTTCAAAGTAGGCAGCGATCACTTTGGTTTATTTTGAAGTACTGTAGCATACACAAGGAGCCCTGGTGGCACAGTGGTTAAAGTGCTTGGCTGCTAATTGAAAGGTCAGCAGTTCAAACCCACCAGCCACTCTGTGAGAGGAAAATGTGGCAGTCTGCTTCTGTAAAGATTACAACCTTGGAAACCCTATGGGACAGTTCTACTCTGTCCTGTGGGTCGTTATGAGTTGAAATTGACCCGATCACGGTGGGTTGGGTTGGGTTTGGTTTTATAGCATGCAAAATGGAAAATGGATATGTAGTATAAAGTACAGCCATAAAATTAGTATTTGTAACTCAGGTGAAGTTATTTTTGCAGCATTTGTTCAAAGTTCTTTTAGAGGAGAGGTTGAGTGCTGCATGGAGAAAGGGTAAAGGTGGGCCATGAATTGCAGTGCCCCTCTTACAACCCCATTGTGAGTCCATTCTTGCAGGGATTGCACTCTCCCCTGCCTGTTGTCCAAGGCCTGAAAACGGTTGCCTCATATGTTTTCTAGTTGTTTGCAGTGGGTGGGCTTGTCTGTAATACCAGTTACTCTGCTGTGACCAGAAACTGAATTCCCAACCAATATTTGTTGAGCATTTAATGTATGTCACACTAGTACACTGGGTGCTGCATGAATATATGAATGAAATGTGTGGATTTCCTTTTAAAGAAAAGTAAATATACTGAGGCCCATAAGGGAAAGTTGTAATAGTGGATGAAATCTTTTTACCTTTCTTTTTTTTTCAATCCTTGAAAAAGCTTGCTTTCTTATTTTTTTCAGTTTCTAAATGATTTTCTGATTTAGAATGAATTTTTTGGGTGAAGTGGTAGGGATGAGGACATTGCTTCTTACACCTAAGGGAAAAGCAGCTATTAAAAGCTAGAATGTTACCCTAATCTCTGATTAAGCCAGACACTCACGTTACTCTCGTTAGAACATCATCAACAGGTATATATTTTTTGATTGTTGTAGTTAGTATTATGGAGTAGTGATGAACTGATAATTAGAGTCAGCTCTTTCATAACGTTTACAGATCGACAGTAATCCAATACAGTATGAGGAATACAGGCAAGAAAATTAACTAGAAATAGTGCATGTTCCTTTAAAAAGAAAATCTTAGTATTAACTTTGCCGTTTAGTATGTCTCTTCCCACTCTCTTAGTTGCTGTCTTTGAAATTTTGATGACATTAGCCATAAAAAAGCAATTACTTCTAGGAGGAGGAAGATGTGGCAGTCTGCTTCTGTAAAGATTAAAGCCTTGGAAACCCTATGGGGCAGTTCTAGTCTGTCCTATGGAGTTGCTATTAGTAGAAATCTATTCGACGCCAGTGGTTATTTATTATTTAATGCAGGGCAATAAAAGTGTTGTTAGGTAGTCAGTATTTGCTCTAAACACCCTCTGAGCCCAAAATTAAAAATTTCATGTGTGACAGGTTTTCTATAACTTACAAAGAGACCAGTTTTCAACATTCATCTCAAAAGAGGTCACTTGGAAATTTCATTGCACCTTTTGCAGAAGAACTATTTTGTTCTCTTCAAGCTCAGTATTATTATGGAAGCATCTGATCATGTCAACATGGGGCTTTGTTTCTAGGGCACTGGTGTCTTCATCCAGATTTACTTTTCAGTCTGTAAACAGATGCGTATATAGAAGTGCTAGGTGCAGAAGAGCTGTTTACCTGGAAGCCCATAGTGAAGATGCTTTGTGAGGTGGACGGCATTCTTCCAATTGGTCTGGACATTTGAAGACCAAGAGAGAACGTTACAAAGTGGGCAGGGTGGTGGTGGCAGTTTAGATATGGTATCAGTGGTTTGCTCTGTGGCTACAAGTTTACCTTCTTTCAAAATAGAAGAGTATATCCATTGAGCCCCTGGGTGGTGCAAACAGTTAATGTGCTGGGCTGTTAACTGAAAGGTTGGAAGTTTGAGTGTACCCAGAGGTGTCTGAAAGAAGGGCCTGGGAACTTACCTCTGAATAACCAGTAGAGCACAGCTCTACCCTGACACATTGGATCACCATGAGTTGGAGTCCACTCAATATCAGTTGTTTTATTTTTAATCCATTGAACAATTTCAAAAGATCTATATCTATCTGACTCCAAGGCTTTGGGGCGGGGAGGAGGCGGGAGAGGGTGTCTCAGTCACCTAGTGCTGCTATAAAAATACCATAAGTGGATGGCTTCAACAAAGATAAATTTATTCTCTCACAGTCTGTTTAATAGGCTACAAGTCCAAATTCAGGGTGCCAGCTCTAGGGGAAGGCTTTCTCTCTTTGATCAGCTCTGGAGGAAGGTCCTTGTTATCAATCTTACCCTGGTCTAGGAGCTTCTCTGTGCAGGAACCCCAGGTCCAAAGGACACACTCTACTCCCGGTGCTGCTTTCTTGGTGATATGAGGTCCCCTGTCTATCTGCTTGCTTCTCCCTTTTATGTCTCAAAAGTGATTGGTTTAAGACACAATCTAATCTTGTAGATTGAGTCCTGCTTCATTAACATAACTCATTAAACTCACCTCATTAACATCGTAGAGGTAGGATTTACAGCACATAGGAAAGCCCATCAGATGACAAAATGGTGGACAATCACACAATACTGGGAGTCGTAGCCCAGCCAAATTGACAGATATTTTGGGGGACACAGTTCAGTCCATAACAGGGGGCATGTGAATTTGCTCTACCTGAAAATGGGTCATTCTTCTCTGAGTAGCACTCGATCTCACTCCCTCTCTAGTGTCCCTGCGAGAGCTCTGCCAAGACCTGCTTCTCCCCAGAGAGCCTAGAGAGGCATTCCATCCCAGAAGCACTTCGCCTAAAGTGGAAGAACTTGCCAAGCCCTATAATGCCAGTTGACCTGGGGCAGGCCCTGGTCCTGCTGCCGCCACTGGCTAAGGCAGAGGACCCCCCGTTCCCTGGACCAGATGCTGCCCCTCAAGGGGAACTCTCCAGCCCTGAAACTGCCCGCCAGCTTTTCAGGCAGTTTCGATACCAGGTGATGTCTGGGCCCCACGAGACCCTGAGACAGCTTCGGCAGCTCTGTTTCCAGTGGCTGCAGCCAGAAGTTCACACCAAAGAACAGATCCTGGAGATCCTCATGTTGGAGCAGTTCCTGACCATCCTGCCTGGGGAGATCCAGATGTGGGTGCGGAAACAGTGTCCAGGCAGCGGAGAGGAGGCAGTGACCCTAGTAGAGAGCTTGAAGGGAGACCCCCGGAGACTGTGGCAGTGGGTAAGCACAGGGTATTGTGATTTGGGGTCTCATTAGGGTGTCACAAGCCCTCACCTACTTCTAAAGCTCTATGTGACTTTCAGGTCCCTGGGTGGTGCAAACAGTTTGTGCTCGACTGCTAATGTAAATGTTGGCAGTTCAAACCTGCCCAGTGGCACTGTGGAAGAAAGGCCTGGTGATCTACTGCCATAAAGATTACAGCTAAGAAAACCCTATGGAGCAGTTCTACTCTGTAGCACATGGGGCTTCCATGAGTCAGAGTCGACTCGATGACATTGGGTTTGGTTTTGGGTTTTTTTTTGTGTGTGACTCAACACTTTTTAGCTATTATGGATTGAAGATAAAATCCCCCATCCCATTCCATCTTTACACTAAAACGTTTGAGTTTGTTCATAACAGTTTTAATTGGTGGAGATATCCAAAGAAACATAGTATTAGTGGCCTGTCTTGAAGGTCTTCCAGGTCTGGTTCAGGCCTCTGCATTTGGCCTCTCTTGGGATATCTCGGTTTCTGCTCGACTGGCTCCTGCTGAATGAGAAATAAAAGCTGGCCTTCTCCTTCCCCATTCCATGTCCCTACGGACTGTCTTATAGTCTGTTGTAGAAGGTTAGCTTCATGTCTTTCAGAAATCCTGACTCTGGATCCTTCAGTAACTAGTAATATATGGTCTCTAGATCAGCATCCAAGTTCTAGGACAGGAAATCTCAGAGAAGATGGAATCTGCAGGCTGCCAAGTGAGGGAGGCAGAGTCCCATCATGAAGTGGTGCCTCAAGAGGTGCGACATCAAAGTTCAGCCTCAGAGCCTGCGGAGCAACTGAGTCATGCCGTGAAAGAGGAATCTGACGCTGAGCAAGAGTTAGGTGAGGGGCAGTCATTATTTATGGTGGTATGGTGTGCTCTTGGAGAAAATTAGGGGTTGTGGTTGTGTGAGTTTAAAATGATATGCTCAGATTGACTTGTCCCTGGAAAATTTGGAAACGGTAGACTTCCATGAATCACGCCAATTTTGACACTTAAAGTCTGCATTTTACACCACTTTATGTCTGTGCTAGACCATTTGGATTTTGGATCTGAGCAAGAAGGTGGGAGAAAATTTGGGTGAGACTATCTGGAACGTTGGAGGGAGTTGAACTTTGTTAATTATGTAAAACAAATGTTGAAATCATGGATGAAGGAACAGGTATCAGTTCTAATTTGTCAAGTTTTTTATTTTTTTTTTTATCAGTACCCTCTTGGGAGTGGCTGAGGAGGACATCTAGATTCTTAAAACTTCCTGTTTCTTACTTCAGTGATGGCTGCCTCCCAGCTTCTTGCCCGACCTGAGGAGAGGCTCGTCAGAGACCAGGACTTTGGAGCCTCACTTCTCCAAGCATCATCTCAGGTGAGCTGGGTTCCCCTGCTTTTCTTGGCCCTGAACCAGGTTTTGAGCGTGTACCAGTAGTCAGGAGGGCTGAAAGGGGAAGCATTCTCAGAAGTGGAGGGGAGAAGAGGAGTAGATGCTATATGAAGAAGAGCAGATATTCTTATTTAGGATAACAAGAATAATACATAGAAAAGAAACTTGAGTTTCAGTATGTCTCTCAGGTTCTCTCAAGGTACAATGTTCTTCTAATTGCCATCTCAAATAGTGGAATCTGGGCCCTTGCAAATACTCGAAAGAGCTATGAAGAAACAAATCTCGTCTCAACACCACAAATAGTCATCTCTCCTCTTTCATTATCTTTGGGCTGTGCTAAGGAACGACTGTATTTCATTTTCTGGTCTAGATCACTGACATAGGAATGAGTTTGAGATTTAGAATGGTTACATCTAACATGGAACAAGGGATTTGTTTCTTCTTTTCAACTTTATGGCAGTATAATTTGCATACAATACACTGCATATATTAAAAGTGTACAATTCGTACATTTTGGCCTGTGTATACACTCACGAAACCTTGACTACAATCAAGGTGATAAACATAGCTATCACCCACAAAAGTTTCCTCTTGTGCATTTGTATTCGCTCTCTCCTGCCCTTCTCCACCCTTCTCCCTCCTGAGGCAACTACTGATCTGTTTTCTATCACCATAGATTAGTTTGCATTTTATTAAATTTTATTTAAAATGGAATCATGCCATATATACTCTTATGTTTGGTCTACAAATAATGCATTATTTTTCCTTGCTTTTAGTATTTTCTCTCTGGTTTTAAGCAGTTTGATTGCGATGTACCTTGAAGTCAATTTTTTTCATGTACATGTGTCTTCTGTTTGGGGTTCATTGACTATGGATCTGTGGGTTTATCGTTTTCGAAAAATTTTTGGCTATCATTTCTTCAATGATTTTTTTTTCCCTGTCTCCCATCTCTCTCTTCTCCTTTGGGAACTCTTGAGAATAATTCATGTGGAATATGTATAATGTATACATATATTAGATATCTTGAAGTTGTCCCACCGCTTGTTGATACTCTGTTCTGTTTTTGGATAGTTTCCATTTTTATGTCTTCAAGTTCACTGATTTTTCCTTCTGCAGTGTCTAAACTACTGGTAATCCCATCCGTTGTAATTTTCATTTCATACATTTTATTTTCATCTCTGGAAGTTTGAATTGCGGCTTTATTATATCTTTTTTATCTCTTCTTAACATGTTCAATCTTTCCTCCAGCTTCTTAAGCGTATGGAACATGGTTATAATATCTATATGATTGTCCTTGTCTACTGATTCTTTCACCTGTGTCAGTTTTGATTGATTGATTAATCTCTTCATTATGAACCGTGTTTTCCTGCTTCTTTGTATGCCCTTTAATCTCTGATTGGATGTCAGACATTTGTGAATTTTACCTTGTTGGGTACTGGGTAGTTTTGTATTCATATCAGTATTCTTGAGCTTTGCCCTGGGATGCGGTTAAGTTAACCTGGACACAGTTTGTTATATGGCATCAGAGAATCCTTTAGTCTAGGGCTCATTTCTCCCTCTTACTGAGGCAATGCCCTTGTGAGTACTCTACTTGATGCCCCTTGATGTACAGAGTTTTCCACTCTGGCTGGTGGCAGTGTGAACTATTTCCAGCCCTGTGTGAGCTCTGGGATTGTTCCCTCTGCTTCTTCTAGGTGGTTCTTTCCAGGCTTGAGTAGTTTCCTTACATACTTGCATTGCTTAGTGTTCAGGTGAATTCTTAACGGGACCCTCTGCAGATCTCCTGAGCTGTCTCTCTGTGCAGCTCTCCCCTGTCTGGTCTTCTGCCCTGCTAATCTAGCTACCTTGGTCTCCTCAGACTCTCAACTCCTTCTGCCCAATGTAGGGAGGCTGCTAGGCTTCTCTCAGATTCCTTCTCCCTGAGCTGCTGCGTGGACACTTATCTCCAGGCAGTCAGATGGGGCAGTTGTAGGGCTCACCTCATTTGTTTCCCCTCTTTCAGGGATCACTTTTTGCGCTGCAGTGTCTGAAAAACATTGTTTTCTATGTCTTGCTTCCATTTTGAGGGTGTTTGAAGCAGGTAAATCCAAACCCCCTTATTTTGTCTTGGCTGGAAATGGAAGTCTCTGGGACAGGTGTATCTTGTTTATATAGTTGATGGTTCTGAAAAGTTACATTTGAAGAAAGGAAAATTTTCCAGGAACCCATACATCTTACTACCACCACCTGTCAGTTTGTTGTGTGGTGGTGGCTTACGTGTTGATGTGATGCTGGAAGTTATGCCACTGTTATTTTAGGTACCACCAGCGTCATACATGGTGGACAGGTTTCAGGGGAGTGTCCAGACTAATACAGACTAGAAAGAAAGGCCTGGTGATCTACTTCTGAAAATTAGATAGTGAAAACCTTATGAATCACAGCAGAACGTTTTCTAAGTGACTTGCTTTGGACATGTCATCAGGCGGGATTGGTCACTAGAGGAGGACTTCATGTTTGGTGAAGTAGAGGCCAATGAGAGTGTGGGAGACCCTCAGTGAGATAGATTGGCACAACAGGCAGACAGTCAGCAGCATGGACCTGAATATGCTGATGATTGTGAGGATGATGCAGGGCCAGGCAGTGTTTTGTTCTGTTGTACACAAGCTTGCCATGAACTGGAGTTGACTGAATGGCAGCTAACAACACACCTTAACCAAGACATTGTTTCAAACCTTTAGAGGACTCTTATTGGGAATTGTCTCATCAGGGAGGGAGGTTATGCAGGGGCTCAGCAATATGGACTTACACTCACCAAGGCTGACTTGGCCATAGCCACTCCTGAGTGTCCAGTCTGCCAGCTGCAGAGACCAACACTGAGTCTCCAATATGGCACCATTGCTCGAGGTGATCAGCCAGCAACCTGGTGACAGGTTGATTATATCGAACCACTTTCATCTTCGAAAGGACAGGATTTTGTTCTTACTGGAATAGACACTTACTCTGGATATGGATTTGCCTTACCTGAGCAATGCTTCTGCCAGAACTACCATTTGTGGACTTATAGAATGCCTTATCCACCGTCATGGTATCCCACACAGCATCGCCTCAGATCAAGGGATTCATTTCACTGCATATGAAGTGTGGCGGTGGGCTCATAGAATTCACTTGTCTTACCATGTTCCCAATCATCCTAAAGCAGCTGTCTTGATAGAATGATGGAATGGCCTTCTGCAGATACAATTATGGTGCCATCTAGGTGACAGTACCTTACAGGGTTGGGGCAGTGTTCTCCAGGAGGCTGTATTAGCTGTAAACCAGCACCCGATATATGGTGCTGTTTCTCCCATAGCCAGGATTCATGGATCCAGGAATCAAGGGGTGGAAATGAGAGTGGCACCACTCACTATTACGTGTAGTGACCCAGTTGCAAAATTTTTGCTTCCTGTCCCTGTGACCTTATGCTCTGCAGGTCTAGAGGTCTTAGTTCCAAAGGGAATAATGCTCCCACTGAAGACATGTCGCTGATTCCATTGAACTGAAAGTTAAGAATGCTACCTGGCCACTTTGGGCTCCTTATGCCTTTGAATCAGCAGGCAAAGAAGGGAGTTACCATATTGGCTGTTGTAATTGATCCTGATGACCAAGAAGAAATTGGACTGATATTACAAAATGGAGGTAAGGAAGAGTATGTCTGGAATGCAGGTGATCCCTTAGGGTGTCTCTTAATACTATCATGCCCTGCGATTAAGTCAATGGAAAACTACTGCAACCCAATTTTGACATGACTACTAATGGCCTAGACCCTTCAGGAATGAAAATTTGGGTGACTCCACCAGGCAAAGAACCGTGACCAGCTCAGGGGCTTGATAAGGGTAAGGGTAAAGGCAATACGGAATGGGTGGTAGAAGAAGGTTGTTCTAAATACCAGTTATGATCACGTGACCAGTTGCAGAAACGAGGCCTGTAATTGTTAGGAGTATATCTGCCTTGTATATGTGCATCAAATATTTTTGTTTTTTTATCAAATATAGGATGTAAACAGGGATAATGTGTTTTCAGTTGTATGCGTTGTATCATGTTAGGCACAAGTATGACTTTATAATTGTCTTTATTCAGAGCTTATGTATTGTTTAAGGATATGAGTACATGTGCTAAGTTGACAAGGGGTGGACTGTGATCGTTCAGGTTGTATGTCGACTTGGCTGGGCCATAATTCTCAGTAGTTTGGCAAGTATGATGTGGTTTGGCAGTCCTATGATGATGTGATCACCTCCATGATGAGATTTGATGTCATGTAATCACCATGATGGGATATGCTGTGAGTGGCCAATCAGTTGAAGGGACTTTCCTTGGGTGTGTGGCTTGCATCCAGTATGGGTGGACTTTCTGGCAAGGCTTGGAAGCTTTTGCTTGCACTGGATCCTGCAGCTGGCTCCTGTTCTTCTCACCTCCGGTTCTTGGGACTTGAGCTAGCAGTTTTCCTGCTGTCTTGCCTGCCTATCTTGGGATTCGTCAGTCTTCTCAGCCTGTGAGCCAGAGCCCTGTTGTCTGACTTGCCAATCTTGGGTTCACCAGCCCCTGCAGCTATGTGAATCAGGAGAAGCCTCCAGCTTGACCCGCAGCCTTGGGAAGTTCCAGCCTCTACAAAGGCATGAACCATTTCCTTAATATAAATCTCTTTCTATGTATATTTATATGCTTTACTGGTTTTGTTTCTCTAGAAAACCCAGCCTAAGACAGTCATATTAACTGGTCTTCTTTGTTGTAGTGTGGATATTATCCTATCATTGACAGCACTGTACTCCAGGATAGATCTTGAAATGTTCTTTTTGACAATGAATGCAACATCATCCCTCTTCAATTTGTCATTCCCAGCATAGTAGACCATATGATCATCTCATTCAAAATGGCCAATACGAGTCCATTTCAGTTCACTAATGCCTAGTATATCGATCTTTATGGGTTCTGTTACATTTCTGACAACTCCCAATTTTTCTAGAGTTCATACTTCGTACATTCCACGTTCTGATTGTTAATGCACGTTTGCAGCTGTTTCTTCTCATTTTGAGTCATGCCACATGAGCAAATGAAATTCCCAAAACCTTGACTCTACCCATGTTATTAAGGTTGATGCTACCTTGAGGAGGCGGCTCTTGCCCAGTCGTCTTTTGAGTGCCTTCCAACCTGAGAGGCTCATTTTCTGGCACTATATCAGATAATGTTCTGCTGCTATTCATAAGGTTTTCACTAGCCAATTTTTTCAGAAGTAGACCACCAAGTCCTTCTTCCTAGTTTGTCTTAGTCTGGAAGCTCCACTGGAACGTGACCCTGCTGGTATTTGAAGTACTGCTGCCAAAGCTTCCAGCATCACAGGAACACGTAAGCCACTACAGCACACCACCTAACAGACGTGGTAGCTTACAGGCTAGTGGAGGCAAATATCGATCAAATAATTGTGTGTGTTTGTGTACATCTATACATAGATATATAATAAGCTGTGATGAATACTGTGAATGAAAAATACAGTGTGCTATAAAGCAGGTGACACTTGCATTATTTCTGTCAAGCCTGATTTTTTTTTTAGTTTAGGATTATTTTTAGGTGAGGGTAGAAACACCCGTTGCTATTGAGTCAATTCCAACTCATAGTGACCCTACAGGACAGAGTAGAACTGCCCCATAGGGTTTCCAAGGCTTGGCTGGTGGATTCGAACTGCCAACCTTTTGGTTAGCAGTCGAGCTCTTAACCACTGTACCACTAGGGCTCCTAGGTGATGGTAAGGCTCAGAAAAGTTAAGTAACTTGTTCAGGGTCACACAGCTAGAAGGTGGCAGAGCTGGGACTTGGGCCCAGTATGTCTGGCTCTAAAGAATATGCTGCTCATCACTCTGCTGGATAAGGTGAATATCTAAAGAACTGGCTTCTTGGTGGGGAGACTGAAATTTGGCTTCATGAAAGCAGACTCTAGCCCTTTGGTATTTCCTGTTTTGAGTCTCTGGTTCCACAGGAAAAGAAGTTTCCTTTAGGGGATTACTGAGGGACGTCTTGTTCCCGAGAGTGCATCAACTGACTGAATGTCAGACCAGGATTATTGGGGATTTCAGGATGTACGGCTCTTTCTCTGACTCCACCAGTCTTTGTTTTCAGCGTGAGGCTTACAACTCAGTTGGCTTTGTTATTGATTCTTACTTCTTTTTTACTGATTTTCACTCGCTTTTCAACAGATTCCTTTTTCATTTCTTCCTTTTCCCCCTTGAATTTCCCGATTTCAGTTAAATATTGGAATATCAGGCTCCTACAGTAAGTACATGAGAGGGTTAAAAAAGAAGAGTGTGGAGAAGGCTCCTGCCCTCTGGTGTGTTCTCCATTGAACAGGAAGGATTTACCCTTAAATGCATGCAACTTAAAACACACACACAACTTAAAACCTGAACGTTTTATTATCAGGGAAAGAAATACTGAAGTAGGGACTGTCGTTTTCCTCTTGGCCTCTTCCTCCCTTGAATCCCTCTCCCCTAGTTTCTTAGATTTCTGATGCCCAGGATCCTAAGGCACATTTCTTCCTTCTCAGTTTTACTATAGGCAGGGAAGGCAGGGTTCAGACCCTTCATCTGGAGCCATGTTTATGGTCACGACATTGTATTTTTTCCAGGAACACTGGAGGCACCTGGATTCTACTGAAAAGGAACACTACTGGGATCTCATGCTGGAGACCTATGGGAAAATGGTCTCAGGAGGTGAGGGCATGGTTTTTCCAGTGGAAGGAGCCAGAAGGATTGCTCTTAGGCATTGTCTTTGTTCTTTTAGAGATACAGGTTCAACCTGAAGTTGTCAGAGTGAGGAAATCTTTAGCAGCAACTGCTCTCTTCAGTCTTGTCTGTAAAACTGTTGTGATAGCTTTCTCTCAGTGAGAGTTAAGATTAGTACAGATTGCGACCAATACAAATACGGGCAGAATTCCATTAAAAGAAAGATTATCTAACGGCCATCATTACAGTTATTGGCAAGAAGGATCAGAGTAAGTAGAAGTTATAATGAGTAATAACGAACTCACCTTCCACAAAATAAAACAAACCACTAGAAAAAATGCTTTATCTACTCTCTATGCATCTAACTTTCATTCAGCAATAGCAACAACAAATACTTCATATAAATCATGCATTTTAAGACTGGGTAAGAAGAAACTTGAACTTGTTCCATTGTAAAATTTCAGTCACCCTTTGCCTTCTACTCTCTTTCTAAAACATTACAGTTATGAACAGCCTAACTGTCAAACATATGTATTGGCTGCTAACCAAAAGGTTGGCTGTTTGAGTCCATACAGAGGCACCACAGAAGCAAGACCTGGTGATCTACTTCAGAAAAATCAGCCATTGAAAACCCTAGGGAGCACAGTTCTACCCTGACACTCACAGAGTCGCTGTGAATCCGAGCTGACTCAATGGCACCTGGCGCTGGTATAGACATATGCCGCATGCATCCACATATACACATATATACCTTTACATGTACAGTAATTGCTAGTACTGTGGAAAAAGAAAAGAACAAAGACTGTAAATTGTATGACAAGCCGTTCTTTCTCCTCAGTGGGATCTAATTAAGTATTTTCCTTTGCTGATATACCAGAGGACCAAGCATCACCTGAGACATGATTTTAATTTTAAGCAATATGTTTATCATTATACTATTTCACAAGGATTCCTTTGGAGCAGTATTTTTCAATCTGTTTTTTATGACCCATTAGTGGATTGTGAAATCATTTTACTGGGTTGCAGCCAATATTTAAAAAGAAAAAGGAGAAGATAAAAAATATTAGAATGCCTTAAATGTAGTAGGGGTAGTAGTAGCTAGTTTCTCAGAAAATTTCTGTCCAAAATATATGTGACTGTATGCATACTGTATTTTAATATAAATATATTTTTTAAAATTCTTGTAAAAATATATATAACAAAACATTTGCCAGTTTAATGTTTTTCAAGTGTACAGTTTAATGACATCATTACATTAATCCTGTTGTGCAGCTATCACCTATATATGTTGCCAAATTTTCCATCACCATAAACAGAAACTCAGTGCTTTTACTACCTCTTCGCCTCTCCCTCCTGCCCCGGTAACCACTGATGAACTTTGGTCTCTTTCATTTGCCTATCCTAAATATTCCACATGAAAGAGATCATACAATATTTTTCCTTTTGCAGTTGACCTATTTCACTTAGCATAATGTTTTCAAGATCCATCCATATTGTAGCGTGTATCAGGACTTCATTTTTCTTTATGGCTGAGCAATATTCCATTGTATGTATGTACCACATTTAGTTTATCCATTTATCTGTTGATGGACACTTTGGTTGTTTCCACCTTTTGTCAATTGTGAGCAGTGCTGCATTGAACATTGGTGTACACGTGTCTTACTGTGTTAGTAGTCAGAAGGGTTTGAAAATACTGCTTTAGAGGTCATTGCAATGCGATGTTTATCTGTGATATACAGATGACTGTATCATCACTCATTCTGTTTTTTTCCTCTCATCTCACCTGCTGACCTGGCACCATTAGATCCTACTGTCATGGGTTGAATTGTTGCCCCCCAAAATATGTGTCAGCTTGGCTAGGCCATGATTCCCAGTATTGTGTGATTTTGTGATCTGATGTGATTTTTCTGTGTGTTGTAAATCCTACCTCTATGATGTTAACGAGGCAGGGTTAGAGACAGTTCTCGATCTACAAGATTAGGTTGTAGATTAAGTCATTCTCTTTGGAGATATAAAAGAGATAAGTGAGCAGAGAGACGGGGACCTCATACCACCAAGAAACAAGAGCCAGGAGCAGTACGTCCTTTGGACTCGGGGTCCTTGTGCTGAGAAGCTCCTCAGCTGGGGAAGATTGATGACAGTGACCTTCCCCCAGAGTGACAGAGCGAGAAAGCCTTCCCCAGGAGCTGGCACCCTGAATTTGGACTTCTAGCTTCCTAGACTGTCAGATAATTAACTTCTCATTGTTAAAGCCAGCTTCTTGGGGTATTTCTGTTATAGCAGCACTAGATAACTAAGACACCTACCTTGACCCAAACTGTGGAGAATCTAGAAGGTTGGCCTGCCTGGATAGGCAAGAAAAGCCATTGTAGGTTCTTAAGTGAAAAAAATACTCGGAGAAAGGTTTAGAAAGATTAATCTGGCAGCATATACAGGATGGACTGGAAATGCTTGGTGAAGAGGCACCCTGTGGGCAGTTGGTGCAGGAGTCCAGGTCACTGCAACAAGATCCTAAACAAACGTAGAAGCAGCAGGAACAACATGGAAAATGACTTGTCTCAAAGATACAGTAATTAGCCAGTATGCCAGGTTTGCACTAGGACCAAGGGCCGAAATCACAGGAGAGAGCGCACGTGCTGTTTTGATTGACCATACGGAAGAAGAGCTCATAGTTAGAGCAGGCCAGCAGAAGAGTGAGCCTCAAAGGCTATAGACTCAAACTGCTAATCAAAATTGCCATGAATGTTTTCTTTCTTTATCTTTTTAGTCTATTTGAGAAAATGATCCTTAGGTTTATCTGCAAGAATTCAATAGGCAAGAATAGTTTAAAACAAGAAAATTGAATGGAGAAAGTTCATGAATGTGAAATCTGGGACTATTAAGTGTCTGTTGTATTACCAAGTCCCTGGGTGGTGCAAACAGTCAAGTGTTTGGCTGCTAACCGAAAGGTTGGAGGTTTGAGTCTACCCATGGCTGCCTTGGAAGAAAGGCCTGGTGATCTACTTTTGAAAAACTAGCCATTGAAAACCCTATGGAGCACAGTTCTACTCTGACACACATGAGGTCACCATGAGTTGAAATCGACTCAACAGCAACTGGTTGTTGATGGATGTATTATAAAGATAGATCATTAAAATAATGTGATACTATTGTAAAAATTGATGCACTGATCAGTGGAATAGAAAAGGGAGCCTAGGAAGGGAAGCTAGTCTATATAAGAACTTTACGTATGATGGAGGAAACAAGACATATCAGTAGGGATGAGTCGTTGAATGAGCAGTGTGGGAAAACAAATTGGATTAGATTTTTTGTATATCATATACGAAAATAATCACGCCTGGTGGTGGAATAGTTAAGCACTCAGCTGCTAACCGAGAGGTTCGTGGTTCAAACCCACCCATTGGCTTTGTAGGAGAAAGACCTGGTGATCTGCTACTGTAAAGGTTACATCCAAGAAAACCCTATGGGACAGTTCTAGTCTGTCACACTGGATTGTTATGAGTTGAAATCGATTCAATGACACCCAGCAACAAGAACAACATACCAAAATAAGATAAAAACAGATTAAAAAGAGATAAACCATGAAAATAAAAATAAAGAAGAAAATGAGTGTATGTTTAACTGATGTCTAAATGGGAAAATATAATACGTAAAATTTAAATATGAAAATAAGTAAATATGAAACCAATAGACGAAATCCTTAAGGAAAATATTAAGAGACTTGAATATATTTAAAAAGAAAAGCCAAAACTTTAGTACATAAAAAATAACCTGAAAGGTAGTGTAAATAAATTGGTCAAACACATTTTCCATGAGTATGACAGATAATGATTTTTTTTAAATATAGAGTTAATGTAAGTTGATAAAAAATGACTTTCCCATTGAAAAATGGACAGCAGTAGTCTTGGAGCATGAAAAGTAACTCATAAATGTGAACAATAGTTTCATCCTTTAGTATCTAAGGAATTAAAATTTAAAACAATGAAGAAACATTTTTCACCTATCTAAATGGGAAATATTTAAAACACTCAATACTTAAGTATTGAACACTTACACCAGAAGATGGTGTAGTTGCTCTGGAAATCTCTTTGGCAGTAGGTATCAAGAGCTTTAGTCCTTGGATGGTGGAAACTGTAAATGCACTCGGCTGCTAACTGAAAGGTTGGAGGTTCAAGGCACCCAGAGGTGCCTCAGAAGAAAGGCCTAGAGATCTAATTTGGAAAAAATCAGCCATTGAAAACCCTATGGAGGACAGCTTTATTCTGACAAATACAGAGCATCATGAGTTAGAGAGACTCAACGGCAAGTGGTAACTGGTGGCAAGAGCCTAATATTCATGCATCCTGATACACTAAGTCCGCTAGGAGGAACCTTTCGTAATATATTTGTCATGAGTGTGGACAAAACTTAGAAGAAAAATTGCTTATTACAGCATTATTTATAATAACAAAAACTCAGTAAATAACTTAGTTTTTTACAGCGGGAGAATTCTAAAACAGCTTATGTGTAGTACATTTCTATGATGGCCTATTATCCAGCCCTTAAAAATATTTATGAAGACTTTTTAAGGTAAGAGAAAGTGCCTTTTTCATTTGAGAGGAATTTGTTGGTTAACAAGTTCAGGTGTAGCTCAGGAGCAAGTAATTTTGGTGTTCAAAGACACTGATATATGAAAGAAAAAGGTAAATTGCTTCTTTAGGTTACAGGAATAAAGGAATATACAAAATTATGAAAATGAATTCTACCAGCAAAATAAAAATCTAAAGTATGCATCATTGTGTAGTGATGTTAACCAAAAACCTGAGTTGTGATGAGAAAAACATTTTTAACTATCTCTAGGAGTTAATAAAGGATATGTGGATGCTAGATTCAAACACAAACCAAGGGAGTCACTTTTCCACTATAGCTACACTGCAGTAAATCCATTGTAAAATGACAAATGACTGCATTTAATGAATGTTAGGATTACTTGAGAGTGGGAGAATCCATGTAAAATTGATCAAGAGCATAATTTACTATGTTATGATACAAAGCTTGATATAGAACCATATATACAACATGACATCAGTTGTGTGGGAGAAAACATGTATGTCTGGTTAAAAAAAGACTGGAAGCAATTGTTTGCTAATAGTTGTTATGTCTGGGTAGTGTGATTGAGGTTGATTTTGATTTTCTTCTGTGTATTTTTCTGCCTTTTCAAAAAGTGTTTAGTGATATTTCTTTTTTTTATATATAATCAGATAAGAATCAGTCATTTTTTAAAAATAAAATCCTTTACCATCGAGTTGATTCCAACTCATAGTGACCCTATAGGACAGAGTAGAACTGCCGGTAGGGTTCCAAGGAGCAGCTGATGGATTCAAACTGCCGACCTTTTTATTAGCAGCCAAATGCTTAAAACCCTGTGCCACTAAGGCCCATTTTTTATTAAAAAAAAATAGTACTCTCATAGTATACTTGTTTTTTCTGGGCCTTAAGAAATCTATTCTCCTTATTTATAGAGGGGTCAAAAAAGCTCCCTATGAACCCTGCTTTGCTATTCAGAAATTCTCCTCAGCTCCAGATCTGAACTACTTACCCTTGAACACAGGGCATGCAAAGTGTAGTGCCAGGGCTTCAGGCTGGATGATATTTTTTTTCCTTGCTCACTAATGCCCTGTTGGTAGAAAGAATCCATGTTTTATGATGTGCCTTTCTTGCATATATGATTTAGAAAACAGGGCATAAAATTTACTGAACTGTTTCAAATCTTCTTTCTTTTTTCTTCTTTCAGGAGATAGGCAGGAGAGTGACAAAGAGAACCTAAACCTGGAAAATTATAGGGACCAGGAACCTCCAGATGCCCCCTGTGACATCTCAGGAGAGGCCCCTCCTCAGGCTTCCGTGAGTGGCTTCTTCAGTGAGGATGAGCCAAGCCAATTTGGAGAAGGAGAGCATCTCCCTGAGGCTCAGGGAAACCTCCAGGGAGAGGGGAGAGGGGAGCAGCTCTCTCCTCAAGAAAGGAGTTCTGGGAAACAGCCAGGCCAGCATTTGCCAAATCCTCACCCAGGAGATCTGTCTCTGCTGTGGCTCGAGGAGAAGCCAGAGGCCCTCCAGAAAGGTCAGCTGAGACCCCCCATGACCCAGAAGCTCCCTACCTGCAAAGAGTGTGGGAAAACCTTTTACAGGAATTCTCAGCTTGTGTTTCACCAGAGAACTCACACTGGAGAGAAGTATTTTCAGTGCCACACCTGCAAAAAAGCCTTTCTGCGGAGTTCAGACTTTGTGAAGCATCAGAGAATCCACACAGGAGAGAAGCCTTGCAAATGCGATTACTGCGGGAAAGGCTTCAGTGACTTCTCTGGATTGCGCCACCATGAGAAAATCCACACGGGAGAGAAACCATATAAATGTCCCATCTGTGAGAAAAGTTTCATTCAGAGGTCAAACTTTAATAGACATCAGAGGGTCCACACAGGAGAGAAACCTTATAAATGCTCTCGCTGTGGGAAAAGTTTCAGCTGGAGCTCAAGTCTTGATAAACATCAAAGATCGCACTTGGGGAAGAAGCCCTTTCAATAGCAAGACTCTTTTATCCCATTTCTATCTCTCTCCAATTAAAAATATATAGCTTTTGGAATCATCTGCTGGAATTGCATCTTGTATCCCTGGTCCATTTTCATGGATTGGAGAAGGGAGAAACTGTAGATGGTTTTGAACTTGGAGGATAGATTGGGCTCCTGGGCTGGATTTCATGCCACCTTAATTTCTTGCTTCTGCATCAGGAGAAAGAAATGTCTTCATGTTTCAGCTCATCGCCTTGCTCAGAGTCTTCTGTTGGACCCCTTGGGAGGAAAAAACGTCATTTGGAGATTGTGCTCTAGAAGTATCTGTCATCTGGGAAGAGTTTAACAGAGCAGCTGTAATTACTGTTCAGGGGAAGAACTTTGGATCAGCCCTTTAGAGCTGGGATTCCAGAACATGTCTTCCTGAGACATAAGGGCAAGCAGACATAGAGGACTAGATGGTTCATGTATTCTTTGACATACGGGTGAAAAACGAACTTGAAGTGTCCTTGTTTTAAATAAACTTGGTAGAGTCACTCCCCATCTCATTTGTGTCTGAAATGTTCACTGTGTGTTGACTATCACTCGACGTGTATTTTCTCATGGGAGATTCCAAATGGTAGTTGAGCTCCTATTTGAGCTCATACAGGCTTATCAAGTTTAGAATAGAGCAGAACAGTGATATGACAGTGCTAACCTAAAGGCCAGATTGTGAGAGCTTGGCCAGTGCTAGGCACTCTGTTGTCTCAGGTTGGTCTGTCTTTGGTGCCCACTTGCTGGTGCCCCTCAAGCTGCCTCTCTTTGTCCTTACATCCCACTTAAATGATCATTTTTGCTAAAGTGCTCTGTGCTTTAAAATTATCTTTTTTATCTCATTTTGTTTGAAGGTGTTAGGAAGAAATCAATAGGATTGATTTTATAGTACTGCCTAGAGGTTTATGAACATGCATATCTAACCTGTACAAATGACCTATTCTTCCAAAGATAAATGCTGAAAAGTGTCCTCTTGCTCGTGAATCCTGAGACTTCCACCCCTCCCTTTCATTTGGTCCTTTTTGTGCCTGGTTGTATTGTACGATTCAGATGAGGATCTAGAAGGAAGATGCTAATGAGCAAGACAGAGCTATCTCCCTGAAAACAGATTAACTTATAGGCAGGAAACTGCAAGATGTTGGCAAACAATGGGAAATGAGTTATGGTTAATGGGAGAGGAAGGGCAAACCTCAAATTAGAGTCCCTGAGTTCCAGAAGAGTCTGTTAACTACCTTACAACATGAATATGAGGGAGAAGACTGCACATAAGGGGGTGTAGGAACCACTAGTCTGAAAGCAGGAAAAACATGGAGGAGTTGGCATTGGATTCTGTATTGTACGTAGAAAAGATTTGTAGGATCGCAGGATTTGATGCTTTAAATCATAGTTTGTCAAAGTGTGATCCCCAGACCAGGAACATCTGCAAGTTGTTAAGACTTACTGAACCAGAGACTTAAATGAATCAGAAATTTTCGTAGGTGGACCCTACCAATCTTTGTTTTAACAAGCCTTCCAGGGGCTTTGATGCCTGTTGAAGTTTGAGAACCACTACTCTAAATAGTAATTGATTAAAAAAAGAAGTCTCTGTAGGGATATGAGGGCATAATGATCCCAGAAGGAGTACTGGGCCCTCCCAGGCATTTCTTACCAAACAAGACTCCCCATAGAGCTATTTATAGGTCATTAAAGTTGAGGAACTCTTTGAGCTTCCAATGAAAATTTCTTCCTGGCAGAAAATTTAGAAAATTATAGGGGAGGGGATGGGGCCAACATGGCACCCTTGACAGAGCCACCATGCTGTCCCTCTGCAGCAAAGACTAAAACAAAAAACTAAACAGATAAAAACATCAGTCCTGGAACCCTAAGCATCAAATGAAAGGATAAAGAACCAGATCAAACACTGAATGGAAGATGAAACTGACAAAAAATAGAATACGGAGTGGAGGCCCCCTGCCAACTAAAACAGGCCAGCGTGGCCCTCTTGAAACACAGCCAGCAATGACCCGGGACTGTGAATACGCGAAGGCAGCTTCATGGAGCACCCAAGACTAGACAGAGCTGCCAGTAACCAGAGAAACAAGTTTTCCCACCCTCACCCTTCTGGTGAGTAGAAACAAGAACCCCCTTATTTCCACAGTCCCCGCTGCCAGGGACTTCAGTATGAAACCCCCCACCCCCCACTTCACCGGACTCCCTCCTGCTTCATGGCTTTTTTAATTCTCTTTCTTTCCCCCTCCCACCTAGCTCTGTACACTACCTATTCCTTTTCTTGCTGTCTTCCACCATGTTGCGTGGTTAGAGACCTAATGACCTACTGCTGCCCCAGATCCATCCCACCCCAACCCACTGGCTCCACCATGCCGCCATTTTTTTTGTTTTTTTCCTCTTCTTTCTCCTTCCCACCTACGCCCATACGTCACCTCCTCTCCCTTCTCACCAGCCTCCAGGTTCGTCCTGCCCCCACTTGCTGGCCCCCATCGCGCCACCATTTTTCTTAATTATTATTTTCTTTTTTCTCTTAGTTTTCTTTCTCTCTCCCACCTAGCCCCGTATGCTACCTCTCCCCCTTGACCACCACCCTCCACTGTGCTGCCATGGCTAGAGAGCCACCGGCCCACCACCACCCTGTGGATGCCCAACCCCACCCACTAACTCCTGCCCTGCCACCATATTTTTTTCTTTTTTCCTCCCACCTAGCTCTGTATATCACCTACCCTCCCTTCCCACTGATCCCTGGGACAAACTGCCCTCACTCTTGTGGTTGCCCATTTTTTTCTTTCTTTTTTTTCTCCCTCCCACCTAGCCCCTAACCCTCTTCTCGCTGGCAACTACCAGCTGCTCTGCTGCAGCTAGAGAGCTGTGGACACACTGGCCCACCGATTCCCCAGAACCGCCCCGCCCCGCCCCACCCACTAGACCCCACTATTCTGTCATTTTTTCTTTCTTTTCTTTCTCCCTCCCATCTAGCCCCATACGTCACCTCCCCTCCCTTCCCACTGGCATCCAGGTCTGCCCCAACCCCATTAATCATCCCCCACAACATCATTTTTTTTCTTTTTTTCCTCTTTCTTCCTTTTTTCACTCCTGCCCACCTAACCCACTATGTCACATCCATCCACATGGCAGCACCTGCTGTGCTGCCTTGTCTAGAGCATCCCTGGCACTCAGGTCCACCACTGCACCAGGCCTGCACTGTGCCTTCCCTCCTGCCACTCAACCAGCTGCTGAATGGTAGGAAGTGAACCTGTTCCACTCCTTGTCCGACATACTCATCTGGCAGGGGGCTGTGAACACTCCCACACTGCAGGATCAACATCAGGAGGCAGACAGTGTCCGTCTAGTCCACCTTCAGCCACCTTGCCAAACCAGTGTACGGTGAAGCAGGCTCGCCTTGCCTGCTGCTGCCCTGCCCACCTGTACAAGGTGGTAAGAGCTGTCATGCCCACAGACAAGCAAGTAGCAAAGCACACCCGGCTGGCCTGCTCTGACATATCAAAACAAAACAAAAAAACAGGACCAAACAAATGAACATACAATCAATAAATAATACCTTGATGTACTGGAGACACCAGATGATATCAAAACATGTAAAAAAGCAGGACAAGATAGCTCCAGCAAGTGACCAAAATAAAGAATCAGATAACCTAGTAGAAAAAAAGGCAGTGGAAAAACCTGATATGGAATTCAAAAGACTGATATTATTGGAAACCCTGGTTGCGTAGTGGCTGAGAGCTACAACTGCTAACCACAAGGTCGGCAATTCGAATCCAGCAGTCCTACTCTGTCCTGTAGGGTTGCTATGAGTCAGAATTGACTCAAAGGCAATGGATTTTCTTGTGTTTTTTTTTTTTTTTCCCAAGAGATTAGGAAAGTGATCAAGGAAAACACAGACAAAACCGAAGAAAAAATAGACAAAATCATGGAAAACAGAGACAAAGCCAAAGAAAACATAACCAAAATCAAGGAAAACACAGACAGAGCAATAGAAGAATTCAGGAAAATAATACAAGAACAAAATGTCAAAATAAATAAATAATCAGAAATCATACAAAAAACAGCAAATCCAAAAGATAAACAACAAAGTTTCAGAAGTGGACAACTCAATAGAAAATTTTACGAGCAAATTTGAAACAATGTAAGACAGAATCAGCGAGATTGAAGACAAATTCATGGATGCCGCTTTGAGGAAAAATGAGAGAAAAGAATGAAGAAAAATGAAAACCTAAGATTTATGTGGGACACAATCAGGAGCAAAAATTTGCACGTGATCGGAGTTCCAGAACAGAGTGATAAAATGTTAAACACAGAGAATATTATCAAAGATTTGCTGGTAGAAAATTTCCCAAATATCATGAAAGACAAAAATCTGACCAAGAGGCTCAGTGAAACCCACGTAAGATGGACCCCAAAAGAAAGTCACCAGTACATATAATCACACTTGCAAAACCAAAGACAAAGAAAGAATCCTGAGATAAGCTAGAGAAAATAAAGAAGTCACTAAGGGGAAAAAATAAGACTAAGCTCTGATCACTCAGTAGAAACAGCATGCAAGAAGGCAATGGGATGACACATATAAAACCTTGAAAGAAAAATACTGCCAACCAAGAATATATGGAAACCATATGGGACAGTTCTGCTCTGTCCTATACAGTTACTATGAGTCAGAATCGACTCGACATCTTCAGGTTTGCTTTTTTGGTTTTATCAATAATCACATTGAATGTAAATGCCTTAAATGGCACCCACAAAGAGACAGAGTGTGACAGAATGTATAAAAAACCACAATCCATCAATACACTGTCTACAAGAGACATATCATAGATACAAAGATATAAATGTATTAAAAATCAGAGGATGGAAAAAAATATTTCAAGCAAACCGTAACCAAAAAAGAGCAGGAGCAGCAATACTAATCTCAGATAAAGTAAACTTCAAGGCAAAAGAAACCATGAAAGACAAGGGAGGACATTATATAATGATTAAAAGGACATTCCACCAAGAAAACATAACCATAAGAGATATCTGTGTACCCAACAACAGGGCTCTGAAATACATAAACTCTAACAGCACTGAAAAGAGAAATAGACAGTTCCACAATAATACCAGGAGACTTCAATACTCTCGGTAAAGGCAGAACACCTAGAAAGGAATTCAACAAAGATACAGAAGATCAAAAGGCCAAAATCAACCATCTTGACCTCATAGACATATTTAGAAAACTTTACCCAACAACAGCAAAGTATACATTCTTTTCCAACTCACATGAACCATTCTCCAGAACAGACCACATTTTAGGTCACAAAGGAACCCTCAATAAAATCCAAAACATCAAAATAATATAAAGTATTTTCTCTGATCACAACGTCTTAAAAGTAGAAAACAATAACAGAAAGAGGAAGGAAAAAATACCAAATGCGTGGAAACTGAATAACATCTTGCTTAAAAATGACTGAGTAGTAGAAGAAATCAAAGAGGGAATAAAAAAAATTCCTACAATCAAACGATAAGGAAAACACATCATGCCAAAACCTTTGAGACACAGCAAAGCAGTGCTCAGAGGTCAATTTATAGGAATAAATGCACCCATCAAAAAAGAAGAACTGGGCAAAATCAAAACATTAGCCCTACAACTCAAACAAACAGAAAACAGCAAAAGAAGGCCATGGGCACCAAAAGAAAAGAAATAATAGAGATTAGAACAGAAATAAATGAAATTTGAAAACAATTGAAAGAATGAACAAGAACAAAATTTGGTTCTCTGAAAAGATCAACAAAATCAACAAACCATTGGCCAAACTGACAAGAAAAACAGGAAGCAAATGACTCAAATAAGAAATGAGATGAGGGACATTACAACAGACTCAACTGAAATAAAAAGGATCTTAACAGAATACTATGAAAAATTATACTCCAACCAATAAGAACAAATTTTTAGAAACATACTACCTACCTGACAGAAACTGAGATAGAAAATTAGATCAGACCCATAACGAGAAGATATTGAAGAGGTAATAAAAAAACTCCCAACAAAAAAAGAGCCCTGACCCAGACGACTTCACTGGAGAATTCTACCAAACATTCAGAGAAGAGCTGACACCAGTACTACTTAAACTATTTCAGAGCATAGAAAAGGAAGGAATACTCTCAAATTCATTCTATGAATCCAGCACAACCCTGATACCAAAGCCAAGCAAAGACACCAGAAAAAAAGAAAATTGCAGACCAGTATCTCTCGTGAATATGGATGCAAAAATTCCCAACAAAATTCTAGCCAATAAAATTCAACCGTATATCAAAAAAATAATGCA